AAAAAAGCAGAGAAGTCGATTTATTTTGTTAATTTTTTCTTTTTAAAGAACAGCTCGGCGTTCTTAAAGTTTATTTTGAAATTGAAAGAAAGATGAATGGGGCCTACACGAGAAGAGGGGTTGCAGCTAACAGAACGTCTCTGTATGGAATACAACAAGGAAATTATTTCCTCAAGGTGGAAATTTATTGCTCCAAGGTGGAAGGCAGAGTGTTTTAAAGAGGTTTTTAATTAATAAAGGGAAACGTGCCAAGAATGTGTTGCATGTTTGAGCTCTCTGCCTTAAATACTGCTAACCTGTTGAGGGCTAATTTAGACTTCAATTAATAAATTACTATACACACAGAGAATAAACAGCCTCCTGCACCTTCAGCAAAATGCATTTTGACAGCCCTATCACGTTTTAAACCAAATGCGAAGCCACGAGGCGCTGTCCCTTGGGACGCCAAACGGCCCAGGGCTCTTGTCCCCTAGATCAGGACACCAAGGTGGGCACCCAGTGCCCTGGGGTGGCAGAGCAGAGGCATGGCAGGGCTGTGTGCAATACTTCGAGCACCTCTGGAACAGGAAGAGACTCTGAGAGCCTGAAGGATTTACCTCTTCAGCGTTTTTTCCCCAAATAATGCCATTCGAGGCGTTCTCGCCCAAAGTCAGGATATGGTTTCCCCGTGGCCCCGGTCCCTTAGGTGCTAAGTCCCGTTGACTTCCATCAAAACTTGGTTTTGCACAGCCCAGATTTTCATAGGTGTTTAGGCTCTTAAACCCGCAGATCTGTGCCACGTGCCATTTTTCAAAGCACCTCAATATTTTAAGCGCCTCGGGGGAGGACGGTGCCAAATCTTACCCTACAGCTCTTACTCTCAATCCCCAGCTGTGGCATCTTGGGGCAGCAACTTCCAAGAGGCAAATGTGCACTGCAGGGCTCAAACCAGCACACACACATGTCCTGACCCGAGGCAAACATCCTCCCCATTTTGCCATACCTCCGCATGATCCCTTATTATCAGCCAGCCCAGACAGGAGCATCTGATTCACCACGCCAAAGCCACTCATTATTTCATGCACTCCTCCAAGTCCCCTCTCCCGGTGACACGGAATAATTAACATATAAAAGTCTGGTGATAAGTGAAGTTTACGATCCAAACCAGTGGAATGAAGGCTCAGAAGTGAACGTTATAAGAGCCCTGTGCCCATAAACATCCCACTTCTGGTGGGCTCCCCCGCCAATTAATCACACGCAGAAATGCTGGCGGAGCATTCATTGCCCACATAAGCTCCTTGCTGGAAAACAAACCTCCAGAGCTGTCAGGAGAATAGTAAGTTGGAGATGGTGTGCTGGAGAGAAAAATACACACCAACCAAGAGTAGGACGTGACCTGGATTTTACAGGGTGGTGGGGGGGTTTTTTGTTTGTGTGTCTGCTCTGCTGTAGTAAAAAAAGAAAATCTCTCCCCTCTGTGGGGGAAGGAGAAACAGGGGAAATGAGTGACGGCTGAGTCCATCAGAAAATCAGGAATTACACGTTTTTCTCCTTGATTTCTGAGCTGCTGCAAGCACCAGCCCCTCTTGGGCCACAGCAAAGTGCTGCGGGGCGCTCTCTGCTAGTGGGATTGGCCAAAACTGGTCCCTCCTTCGGGTCTGGCTGGATTTATTTACACAGGGCGATTATGAGGAAGGGGAAGGGCTCCTGTGGCTCAGCCAGAGAGCAGAGCTCAAGATGTGGAGAGCCTGGAGGCCTTTGGCCACCTCCGTTTGGCACCAGCAGCCGTGGCCATGGAGTCGAAATCCAGGCAGATGGCAGAGGTGAGGACGATGGCATCCAAGGTGCTGCAGCCGCTCGTCCTGTCGCTGGAGATGTCTCATCCAGCCTGGAAGTTGGGAAGCTCTGCGGTCCCCCCGTGAAGCAGCCGGGTGCTCCTCCATGGGGAATTTGCCGCCCGATGTCACCGCCTCACGAGGCCGCCCCCAGCCGAGGAGAAGACACCGGGGCCAGCTCCAGGATAAACAGAACTTCGGCACCACAGGCAGACGCTGATTATCCTTAATTAACTGGGTTCGCATCACTGAGTAGTTCAGGCAAACAATACAGCTTTTGGCTAGAGATTTATGGAAATTGTTATTGGCAAAACTGCTTTTAATCCAGCGCTGGACCGGGGGCAGATCGCAGAGGCACTGACAGCCTCCCAGGGGCTTTGCCTCCTCCAGCCACGGGCGTAGCTTAGCTAAACTCCTAATTTGTTGAAAACAGATCAAAAATGAGAGCCTCTCTGTCTGCACAGGGAAGCTCGAGCACCTCCCCAGTGCCCCAGCATATTTCTGAGGCCGAAACAACCCTGGTGCAACCTGGAGTGATGCCAGATCCTCCGAGGAGCATCATCACAGCAGAGAGCTGCCTCTTTTGTGGCCGGACACTGCCCAGCTCCTCAGTGCAAGGCACAGGGTGGCTGCTTGGCAGCTCCCATTATCCAGGGGTGAGGAGCCAGGAGGAGGGGACCCTTGGCCACAGTGCCCCCAGCACTGCCCAAGCCAGCTCCGTGCTGGGATGCTCAGAAGCCACCAAACCTCCCCGCACACCACGTCCCGTCCCTGGGGCAGAAACCTTCACCAGCATCAGTGGCCAAACGCTGCGTGCTCGAGTTTTACGGGGCCATCCTTCTTCCTGCTCCCACCTCTGCCCTGGGGAAGGTGAGGAGCCCAGGCACAGCCTCTGCTCGTGCTGCAGCCCCTGCTGCAGATCCGACAGCCCCACAGCCTTTAGGGCCAGCCTGGCTCGAACCAGAGCCTCGCTGGCAGCCGTGCCTGGACTATTTCCCAAGTCCGTTCGCAGGCGAGTTGTCAGCTCCTCACCAAAGGGTCCAACTCTGCAACAGATCTTCAGCATGAGCAGCGCTTACGTAAACACGGGCTTTGATGCCTGCGGGATAGCTCACATCCATGTTTGCTTTCTGCCTTGTTTCTTTGGGGAAAAGAGAAAGGGAATTAATGATTGCCAATTTATTCCAGTTAGTCAGCATCTCCGTGCCTGCTCGCCTGGCCGCGCTGCGAGCACTTGTTCCAGGACACACACGTGCTTGCCTTGTCCCGAGGCTAACAAATACTTGGGTGCTTGATGCAAACAGTTGTGAAAAACTGAAACTAGCTAACACGGATGATCTTGTTAGCTCCAGTTAAATGGCAGCCTCGTTAACCCGAGGTTGAAAAGGCCAGAGGAGGCGCAGGCACCTACCAGAAGCTGCAGAAAGCTCGAGGCCTTCAAAACTGTTTTGCAGGCACAGGGAGCACTCACAGGCAAGGAAGAGCCCTCACGTTGGGGCAGGAGGAGGCCACCTCCCGGCTACATCCACTGAAACCATGGCAGTTTGCTGGGCCCAGGCTCCCGTTTTGGGGAGAGGAAGGGATAATTCTGGTCCTGCTCCAGGGGCCATCCTGCGAAGGTGCCATCCCCACGGGGGGCTGAGCAGCAGCAGCCCCCAGACCCTACAGGACCCCAGAAGCAACCCCAAGCAAGGAGCATGCTGCAGGCATCCTTCACGCTCTGTTCTCAGCCTCGTGGTTTAGTTTTTAATTTCCTGTGCCCGTGGAGCAGCATCACTGGGACTCACAGGGACCACGAGGTGGGCTGGTGGGGGACACAGTGAGGGAACAGCCAAGGTGCAGGAAGTAACTCCCAAGGAAAAGGCTGTTTTGAGATCGATTACCCATGCCACAATCAGCCAAAAAAAAAAAAAAAGAATAAATAAAAATAAATAAATAAATAAATAAATAAATAAATAAATAAATAAAGATGAAGAAAAGAAGATGAAGAAGACAAGATGAAGAAGAAGACAAGGAAGACGAAAGGGAAAGGGAAAGGGAAAGGGAAAGGGAAAGGGAAAGGGAAAGGGAAAGGGAAAGGGAAAGGGAAAGGGAAAGGGAAAGGGAAAGGGAAAGGGAGAATTCCTCTTTCCAGAGGAATATTTGACCTGGTGGCTGCTAGCCATGCGCTGCACCTCATAGTAAGGATGGAAACATTTTCAGTTTGCAGGTGTCCCACACAAGGGTGGGATCCTGCAGGCTGATGGGGAGCAGGCAGCAGCACCAGCCCGGCTGCACTCACCTGTACTCCTCTGTGCTGTGTCTGTGCTGTGTTCATTTCCCGGGGAGCTCCAGCTGGGTCAGGGAGGCTGTGCCCTGCATCCCCTCTGTGCCCCCAACACCCTGTGCTCGCCGTGCACCACCAGCAGACGCAGGTGGAGGAGAGCTGAGGAGATGCAGGAATGGGACTGGGGGGCTCCCAGCTGGCTCCCAGCAGGGATTTAGGGAGCCACAGGAGAAGGATTTGGTGCTCCCTCCCCTGCCCAGCTCTGCAGGGAGCAGTGAGCCAGGGGGGCTGCAGGGACGGGGAGTTCAGCAGGGGTTCACCGCAGATTTGGGCTGCGGTTCAACAATGCTGGGAATTCTATTAAAAAAGGAAAAAAAAAATACAAAACCACTTTTATAATAGGAGAAATCTCCGGTGCCTGCAAGGGGAAGCAAACCCCAGGGCAGGGCTGCTGCTTCCCAAGCTGATCCCATGGGACCGGCCCGCATTGGGGGCAGGCACCGCAGCACAGCCCAAGGGTGACTTGTGACTTGCTATTTTTATTTTATTGCCATTAGATTTGCACAGCACTGCTCACAAAAGGCACTGTCCAGTCTTTGTGATGCCCCAGAAGTTAACAGCAAGTGGCGGCTAAGCAAGCACTGACACGGAAACCACGCTGCTGTCAGCGTTTTGAAGCCCTGCTCCTCTTTTGGGGCTGTTTCTGCCTCTTCACCAGGCTGGGAGCCTCAGAACACACGGGCTGCACAGCTCCGTGCCACAGCGAGACAGTGCAGGGGAAAACTAGTCGGTGGGGATTTTTTCCTCGGAGTATGTAAATAAATATCAATATTCTAAACCAAAGACCTCCCAGTAACTAAATATTATTTATCTTAAAACTAAACAGCTTTGTCACATATGTATAATAATAAAGAAACAAATTACAAAGGAGGAATTTGATTTTATTGGTTTTATTCAAAGCGTTTGCATTATATATCAATTTCCAACAACAGAGTTTTCACAGTTCATTAGAGACATTGTCAAAACGTTGGGTGAAGCTCGTTTCACTTCCCCACCAGTAACAGGAGACATCCCAGCCTGATTGTTTGTTTTAATTGCACTCATTCCTCACAACAGCGACCGATTTCAAACCATATCAGGGAAATCAGGGAAATCCACCGCTTCAGCGGGGAAAGGCACTTCGGAGCACGGAACATCTGAGCACGCAGCCTGAATTTGGGTTTCTTTTGGATTTGACAGCCCCAGTATGGTCAGCGCCGGCAAATCCCCACCTCTTCCATCTTGCTTCCCGCTAACAATTAGCATGTGGCAGTATGCTCGCTAAGGATTAACAAAAAATACCTCTCTTATTTTACCGGCACGGCCATCTGCGGGTCAGCTAGTGGCATTCTGCATCCCGAATATCTGAGAGACCACACACTTCGCACACGCGCCCGATATAGATTTTGGCAGCGCCTGCCCCCTCGGCATGCATCTCATTCCTCAGCAGTTTGTGAGCTTGCCTTCGGTGCCCCTCCAGCTATGTGCTGGGCATTTCGCAGGTGTCAGGCTGGCGGCTGCACCCCGAGGGGCTCGCAGGGCACGCGGCTGCAGGCTGCAGCACGAGGGAGGCCCTGCTGCAGCCCTTCCTTGGGCTGAAATCTCCCTGCTGGCAGGGAAATCTGTCCCGGCGAGGATCAGGGGATAAAAACAAAGACTTTGAAAGCGCGGAAGAAATTATTTTCAAGCTGGTCGGTGGGATCCGCAGCTCTCGGAACAAGGCTCCCGGTGAGTAATTGCAGCTACAAGGAGGGTGAGCATAGCTTCAGCCGAGCCCAGCTTAGCAAGAATCCTGCTAATGCCTCTTCCTCCGCTGCCGGCGGCTGCGGGCGCCCGGCCAAGCTCCCCCTCCTCTCCTGCAGGTACAAGCACTGCAGCAGAAGTAACAGCTCCGTCCTGCAACGCGTGGCCATGGCCTGACCCAGCACAGCACCCAGTGCCAGGAGCTCACCGGGATGTGCTGCTATTTGCTGGAGCAGAGCTGGAATTTTTCCTCCAGCGCAGGACCCCGCATCTCAGGCCGGGGACAGCTCCCCAGCACGCAGTGTCACTTTTCCCTGACAAAGCCCGTAGGCTGGGGGCACCCCGCCTGGCCCCTATCCCATCCCCTGGAGCACAGGGGTGTGCGAACTGAGAAATGGAAGTGGGAGGCGTGGGGCATGCTTGTAGGGCAGCTGGCACCAGCCCCGACTCTCCGCTGGGCTTGGGGAATGTGGACACTTGGGGCCGGGTGCTAGCTTTCACTGCAGCTTCTTTTGCTTTCTAGGAAAGGATTGTTCCAACCCAATTTTTTGCTGTTTTATCCCCTACATCCTCATGTGGTGCCAGCAGTGTAAAAGGATGAGTGCAGGCATTCAGAGGGGTCTCTCAGATAAAGGTCTTAACAGCTAACGAAGCTAAACCACCCTTTACAAAATCCCTTGTCCTCCCAGGGGGGTGTGAAATCAGTTACAGTCAGTGAGGAACAGCAATTAAATACAAGATACAGATGGATGATGCGTTCAAACTCCTTACACCTGTGTTACACGGAGGCAGCAGCTTTGTCAATGAACTGAGCCAGCTTCACATCTCTCTTCGTCAGCCCACCGCAGTCATGCGAAATGAGGGTGATCTGAACCTGAAAGGGAAAGAGAGGCATTAGGACGGCCATGCTGAGCCCGGCAGGCAGCAAGGCCAGAGCTTCACGGAAAGCCCTGGGGGCTGTGCAGGGAGCGAGCTGTGTCCCCCTGCTCACATAGCCCAGGGGAGGTGGGAGGTGAGGAGGCTCAGCAGAACCCAAGGACTAAAGCTCCACACACTAAAACTGGCTTAGCACCCCTGGGTTTCCCCAAGCAGAGGTGTCTGATTAAATAACTTGTTCTTTATGTTTGAATTCTGCATATCGGTTTCATGAAGGATTTGGGTCAAGCAGAGTCTGTGGCTCAAGTGTTTTGCTACACCTGGAGGTGACGAAACTGTTGAGTTTGTTGCAGATTAACTAGTTGCCAGCTCTCAACCATGCAGCTGGCAGCAAACATTTGCAAAAAACGGGCTCCTGGTGCCATCTCTGTCTCTTTAACGACCCAAATCCCTTTAAAAAGACACAGCCTCTCTCCGTTCCCTTCTCTCTTCCATTGTGTATAAGCTCCAGAACAGGCACCAAGGATGTACCAGAGTTTTGGTCTCCTTAACTTGCAGTGGTGGTGACTAGGGCTGGCGGATGTGATCATTACCTTGCTGTAGACATTAAACCATTCCGGGTGGTGATTCATCTTCTCCGCTTGTAGAGCGACTCGTGTCATAAACCCGAAAGCCTAGGACAGAAAACAGAGAGGAAAAAGCCTTCCTTCACCTGCAAGGACATTGATGGAAGTTCCTCTAGAAGCTGATCAAGGCTCACCCCAAGATCTCAAAAGCTGCTGGAGATGCTCCAGACTACTGCACCCCGTTCTGAGGTGTGTTGGAGGAGTAACTCACCTTCTCAAGCCACCGATGTGTTTCTGCACTGCCAAAAATCATCCCCTTCGGGTCCCGGTAAATCACTCTGCTCAACGTTACTTACTCCAGGACTCAAAGCCATTGCACGGGGGCAGTGATTTTACCTTTGGCATCCGACAGTGATTTTAAACATCCACCCCGAGAGCCCTCCTCCCTCGCTGCCTCTTTGCCAACGCCATTTCTAATTAAGTGCCACGCCACAGAAGTCCTGCACTGGACAGATACCATTTCCAGAACCACGTCCTTTCACATAACTCTTTTGCTATTTATTTAACTTGCAGGGAGAGAGGTGGCAGGTGGCTTTGCCTCTCTGCTTTATGAGAAAATATTTTACCTAAAGTGAGTTAAAATAGGTTTCCCAATCCTCCGCCCCTATATTCTGCACGGCGCTTTCCCCCAGGATGCAGGTTTTATCACAGGCTCAAGAAGAAAATAATAGCGTACCCTTGCCAAAATGCTTAAGAGCAAATCACTGCATTATAAAGAAAATGAGAATGTCCATGTAAATCAAGAATGCAATTACACAGTGGGGCCCAAAGGGCCTCAGTGCGTGCACAGAACGCCTTCACGTCAATGGGCTTTGTTCGTGCTGCGCTCCATCCATCGGGGTTCAGGACCTCAATTAACATGCAAAGCATAAGTAACATCCACGTTATAGTCTGGTTCATATTATAATACAACGATCTCAACAAAGACCTACCTGATTTAGGTAGGTTTTTAGTGCTAATTTATGGAGGAGAATGTATATAGCCCACATTCCACCAAGCGATGGCCGTTTCAAACAAACATGTGGTCAATGAATAACATATAATGGTTGATAATAGTTTCAGTCTTTTTTCCCCTCACAAATTACAAAAACCTTTAAGAAAAAAAAAAAAAAAAAGAATCGGTGCCTGGATGAAGTATGACTCTGTGAGTCGCTTTGCCAGTCAAATGAATGCAAACGTTATAATCAGAGAAAATCATTCCAATGAGGTTTGTCATTTGGAAATCGCCAAACTGTCAGCAATTAAAAAGCTTTTTTCTTTGACCCAAGAGCATTCCAAAATTCGGGAAACCTAACTTCCCTTGAAGCTCTTGTTTAGTTTAATTTTGCTCGGAGTGAACAATTACTTTTAAAAATTTTCAAATGTTTCGGCAGCGCGCTTTGAAGCAGAACGCGGCAAGTTGGGCACCAGGCAGTGACAATTGGGAACACGCACGCATTAACAGTTCGAAAACAAGTTTCATTTAAATGATTTTGGAGTGCCCATGGTCTTAATAGGAAAGTTATTTCCAGCAGTCTGTACGTTTCTGCAGCAGCCTATGCGCAGAAAGGTTCCCAGAAGTTTAAAATTCCGATGCCACTGCAACTAGGCTGCCTCGGTACAAACAAACAACGAAGGAAAAAGTAGATTAAACCTACAAAAAACCCGACGGGGTTTATGTGTGCTCTCCCAGCCTCCATCTACCCACACGAGAAGCTCATCCACGTGCACACACACACAGTTACATGGGCCAAGCGCGATTCATTTACTGCGGGACACTTATCTTGGACACGGACAGGAGGCAGGCAGGAGCTGGGCACATGAACTACCCAGCTCACTCCATCCGCTCCACAACCTTCCTTCGTGCTGCTCACCGGCCAGCAAACCCCTCTCTCCGCACTCCCCCGGGGCTGTGGGTGCTGGTGTGAAGGCGACGTGCCCTGCTGAGGGTCCCCGTGCCACCAGGAGGGCTTCCACGGCCAGCTCCTGCCGTGCAGCCACGACTGTCCCAGCCCGGGCATCTGGCACCCTCGGGGGCCATGCACAAAGCACTGCGTGCGTGCCCCGCCGCTCTCCCTCGCTGCAAACCACCCCGAGCAGCTTACTTTTCGTATTTCAGTTTATTTTATTTCTACGCAGAACGCAAGCATCTCCCCGCTAAGAAAATGAGCTACAGTTCCAGCGGGCAATTTCACCAGCGCAATCTCCATTAAGGTCCTAAATGCTTCCTCTGCTAATTAAATGAATTGGAACGCTATTGTTTATGAATCACCTTTGTATTTGTAGAGCCGTAACCTTGCTTTGAGAAAATACAATTGGCTCTGGAAGGAAAAGATATTTAGGCTTGATTAGATATGAAAACACTATTACATAAAATCAGTTTGGACATTTCTTCACGTCTTGAAACTTGATCGGTAATTTGGTCTAATTGGTGATCAAGGAAACTATCTTGTGATCAATTAAAGTAATTACCACATTCCGGCAACACAACCAACCTTAATTTGAGCAGGAGTCTGCACTTCTTCAACTTTAATTAAAAATAATGAAAATTATTAAGCAGTCTGCAGTGCAAGATCATTGTCAAGACTGCATTGGTGGGCAAAATTTATCAGACCATCACACATTTCTTGATGAAAGTGGGACAAGTACTTTGCTTACACCAGCAAGGCACAACATGATCACGAGCTTCTCTGTATTAACAACAGACTTCTGCAGCCCCTCAGCCACCAACGGGAACTTTTTCAGACCTTTCCTTGAAAAAGAAAGAGAAAGAGGGGCAAGAAAGGATTGGTGCATTTTCTAGAAGCCATGAAGAAGCGTTTAAAGAGAGTTTGCTGTATTAACTACTATAAACTGTGCTGACAGTTCAGTTACAGGTATATTTAGTGGGTATTTCCAGCCTAATCCTTTTAGGACATTCTGGCTGAAGTAAGATCTGGACATACAGGTTACCCTACGTAAGTTCACCACATCACCAAAGTCATGGAAGAGAGCAGAATCCCTGCAGCCAGCCAGAAACAGCAGTACAGGAGTGAGGGAAGCAACCCCGAAGTGCCAAAGAGATGCCGTAGGTGTGCGGTACGTCTCTTTCCTTCGTGTCTTTTCAGGTCGTAAAAGAACTGAAAACTACGGGTGTTTGAGTCGTAGCATCCCTGCTAAAATAGTTTTGAAACTCTAGCAGCCACAGTGCTTCCATGAGATAAAAATCAGAGCTACTCTCAGAAGAGTAAGTTAGCCTAATAAAGTAAAAACCAAAACAAACAAGAAAACCCACAACTTGAAAAAAACGCAGCTGTCACATCTTGCTCATAAGGGTGTTTCAGGGCTGGCCAAACCGCTCTGGAAAGTGACAAAACACGCTGCTATCACAAAATAAGACTTAACGCGACTTCTGTTGCCTGAGAATGGGAAAACCAGGGCTGGCCGCCTTGCTCTCAGCGGTGGGAGGAAAGATGAAATTCCATCCAACGCTCTGCGCCGCGCCGCGCTTAGCAGCTCCGGGAGAATCGCGGGATCCCGGAGCTAATCTGCTATTATTCTTCCTCTCACACTTCTTAAGCGAGGAATCCATTCGTCTTAATGCTTTTTAAACGTGCTGCTTTTTTGTACGGCGCTTGCCAACATTATCTTGATGAGTTCTACATCAAAGCGGTGCAGGTCGAGGTGTCGTGCTCATTTATCACCGCGCGGCGCGTCCCCAGTGATCGATCACCACCGTGCACCTCCAGAGCTAGCAGCTGACAGTACTTGCCTCGAAAACGGAGATATTCAAGAAAAACAGCCGAAAGGCTCAACAGTGGAACCATGCAAGGTTTTTTATTTATTTGTTTTAAAATGTGCGAGCTACAAAGAGAGTACCCAGGCTTCCTAAATCCTTCAGACGCTCAGCCAAGGAAACCATATGCTAATCACGAGTACATTAAGGTTTCTGCCTCCCATCTGTCATTATAACGCTGGAGGTAGCATTAACCTTGACCTTGCGTAGTGTGAGGGCTACCTGTCTTCCCTTCCCCACCCATCCGGGCTGCGTCTGTACCATTTATCAGTGGGAAAGGAATAAATAAAACAAGTTACGGCGGTGCTGTCATACATGGCAAGAGACGACTGCTCTTTGCACATTTGCTTTCCATTCACCCAAATAAAAAATACCCCTGTGCACAGCACGTAGCACGTGTTCTCCTCGGCAGTTTGACACTTACAACAATAAACGCAGATCATTAAGGTTCATTCCCAAGCTTGCACATAGCCAGCTTCCATTACTACCTACTGACGAGCTATGGGTCAGCAGAGAAAAGGGAAAAGCTCTTTGATGGCAAGCTATAGGAAGCAATGTTTAGCTAGTCATGAGGCTTTAACTCAACCTCATGACGTTTTGTGGTGTGCTCACCAGAAAAACCCACGGTTTGTTTTATTTTTGTTCTACTTGCTCCATTAGGAAATACTTCTAACTTATAAATATGCAAAAATCGTCTTATAAGGAAAAGTGTTTAAGTAATGCTTGAGAAGGGGAAGGCAGCACACGAGGACGGGTATTCATTCAGTCTCAAAGCCACGTGCCCAGTCTAGGACTGGTTCCTGCTGGCACCACTGGCTTGTGTGAACCACCCCAGGGAACGGGCTGGCCTTGGGGCTTTCGTCCTGCCTGGATTCACACACCACATGAACCAGGGGAATGCATTTGCAATGTTCTTTCCCCCTTTTACCATTGTTTCATGCAGCACCATCCTGCGTAAGAACCCAACGAGACCGTGCCCCAAACCACAACAAGACTGCGCCCCAAAGCACAGCTGAACCCCAGGTGATTCAGCCCTTCCTGCAAACATGCCCTGCATCAGCACGTCCTGGAGAACTGCTCCTCTGCCCCTCACCTGCCTGCCTGGAGCCGGGCAAACCACGTCTCCATCATGTCCTGGGGGAGCTGCAAGCTGTGGCTGCGTGTCCCCATCCTCTCCATCCCCAGCAGGAGCTGGGAGGGCAACAGCCCCCAGCAAACTGGGGAGAAAAGGTTTTTGCTCCTTTTTAGCAGCAAAACCTTGAGAGTGCAGGCAGCCCTCCCCTTGCCCGAGCAG